AAGGCATTTGGTAGGACCAAAGGTGTAGAATATGCAGTAACCAAGATAATGAGCATAGGGGATAGAAATGAGAAAAGCAATCTGCAGTCACACCACCCTGAGTGCACCCAATCTTGTCTGATCTCAGAAGCTAAGCAGGGCTGGGAAAAATAAGAAAGCAAACAAAACAAATAAATGATTAAAACGAATTGGAGAGGAAGTGAGATACAGATGATAGGTAAAGTCGTTTCAACATAACAGTTTAGTCTCTGAATAATAAAGCTAAAATAGTGGAACACAATAAATATTTAGCGATACCATTCAAGAAAACTCTTCATAAGTAACAGAAGAGTTAAAATGACATATTGAAGGAGCACACCATGTATCAGGGGAAAATGATCCAGAATGGTTCACAGTGGGGTATATCTTAGCAAAGTCATTGGACTTTAAAATCAAGAGAGTTTCTGTGGGTGGCCATGGCAAAAGACCAAGTCACTAAAGGGGGGAAGTAAAGGGTTTGCCTCAGACTTTGCAAACCTCAATGCCAGAAGATAATGAATCAGTACTTTGAAATACACTCCAGGAAGGAAAATGAAAGATAAAAATTTATATTTAGTCAAGCTGTCTGTCAAATACAAAGACTACCATTCAAAGATATATTGTTTGTGAGATACATTATTATCATGAAAGAAAAAGTATATACTCCGTCAACTAACAAACATTGGGAAAGGGAAAGTAGGATATAGAGTCATTTCCTTGCGTGTAATAACAAAATATTAAAGGATGATGTCTTAAGCTGACAAATCAAGAAGTGGAAATATAAGCATATTTTACAAAATGAAGGTATTTTTTGTAAATTGTAAAGTTGTAGCAACGCTCTTCAGGGCAGTACTGGTTAAACAGATTATGGTTCATCCATATCATGAAATACTTGATAGCCTCATAAAAAAATGAGGAAGGTCTCTATGTACTGATAGGGAAGGAGCGCCAAGATAAAAAGCAAGATGCAGAACATCTAATGGAATATATGGTACCATTTATGTAAAAGGAGTAGAAAAATAGTGTATAAGGATTTCATACATTTGATCAAAAAACTCAGGAAAAATACACAAGAATCTTTAAGAAAAAAATTATCTTGGGGGAAGGCTTGGGAGGTGGTTGGATGGATGACTGGGTAGGGGTTAGGTTCAGGTTTGTTCTTTTTTTTTTTAATGTTTATTTATTTATTTTGAGAGAGAGCATGCACATGCATGAGTGGGTCAGGGGCAGAGAGAGAGAGGCGGGGAGGGAGAGAGAATCCCAAGCAGGCTCCACACTGTCAGCGTGGAGCCTGATTTGGGGCTCAGACTCAAGAACACGAAATCATGACCTGAGCCAAAATCAAGAGTTGGATGCTTCACCAACTGAGCCACCCAGGCGCCCTTCCTTTTCATTTTTGTAGTGCAAATGCATTACATATTACTAATTAGACTAATGGAAATATCAAATATTCTCTTCCTCCTTCCCCCAAATTCTGGTCCCGTATTGTCTTAAGCAAAGCTCTGAGGTAGTTTTAGCTGCTATCTCTACAAGGTGTCATGGGATTTTCATTCTTTCCAGAATGTAATCTTCTTAAGTAATCTTCCCCAGGCCTTCTAGGGGCAGAAAACACTGTTCTGTGATTGATTTGCTATTTCATCTGGACAGGTTCTCTGTCCTTTCTTAGGTTGTCTGCAAAATAATCAGTACTTATTAAGGCTGGTTCTGTCATTAAATGAAACTCTGTTTCTTATCCTTTGTGTAGGTTATTTATGGGATTGGTCTTGCTGGATGCATTGGGCTCCTATGAGTGAGCATTTCCCCCTTGAGTTAGTGTCTAATATTCATTCTCAACTTAATATGGTCAAAACAGAACTCTTGATAACATGTACCAACTTTAGAACTCTATGAAATAGGAAGATACGAATTACATTTAGTTTTTGTTTTTTTCATTTAAGGAAGGTGAGACATTAAGAGGTTGTGACTTGTCAAAAATTACTCTGCCAGATGTCTTAACCATTGATAATGTGAATCCTGCCTTGTTGATATGAGGATTTAGCATGGTGGACTGAGTTATTGGGGTTTTCCCCTCAAGTGAGGCTAATTTGTTTTTTGGTCCTTGTGCAGTTATGCTCCCAAAGAGATTCTCACACTTATTTCCAGGGTGCATGAGTTTGGATATATAATTGGAAAGCAGTGATGCTACTATTATTAGTGTATACATGTATGCACACACATATGCACATAGTGATTCAGTATAATTGCCAGTGACAAAACTGTTACCTTTTGTGATTTAAGATCACTTGAAGGGAATGCTCATGAAATCATGCTCATGACTTTGAACTCTTTTCCATAATGAATAGAAGACATTCTGCAACATTTTCTAGAAGTTTTCTAAATGCTTTGGATCTAATGCATTAATTGTATTACATTTCTACTTTGGTTTCTAAAGTTGTGTGTGTAAAATGGGGGCGATAGTCTTGTCATCTTCACAGGATTGTTGTGATCACTAAATGGGATAGCTTATGTGAATGCGCTTTTGTAAAACTGTAAGGTGCCTTATCAAAATAGAGATGGTGGTGCTAGTATACGCTAATTAGTCTCACCTGTTCCTCATATGTTCCTACCATTCAACTCTGTCCCTTCCCAATTCACTCTTTTCTAAGAATAGGACTAAAAGGATCATATTAGACTTAAATTCGTGTACCTTAGCTTTTTTCCCCTCTGTGTTTCTTTTTCTGCATGCGTTCGTCTACGTAAAGACAATTTTGAATAATGTCATACAGAATCTTACACTTAATAATTAAACAATAGAGATATAATAAAAACCTATGAGTAATAGTGTGGACACAGGCTTTGTAAACAGACAGTTTTGTGTTTTAAAATCCACGTGTCCTATGTTGGCTGTGTGACCTTGGACAGGTTACTTAATCTCTTGTAGACTCAGTGTTCTCATGTGTAAAAATGAATGATAATATTTATCTTTTGACATTGTTGCGGACTAAATGAGGTACTTTTTGCAAAGCACTTTGGAACATTGTTTTCACAGAACACTTAGTCTACCCTCATGTCCTCAAACATGCAAATTCTAGTTCAGACATAATCACTTGATTAGTAGTTTTACCATTTTTGTTGTACTCCTTTTAATGTAAGTTACATTGATAAAGATCAGAAATTTAACTCCACAGTTGCTCTAAAAACTTTCTATTTTAGATTCACTGGAATGAAAAATGAGTACATTATGAAAAATGTACATAACAGTGTATATTACTTTATTTCTGGCTTATGTGAGTATATGGGAGCCTGAAAACTCATCAGCTATTTCAAAACGAGGATGCATTTATTCATTATATTTTACATATACCTAGCTGGTGCTATTATTAGCATTTGGAATAAAGAGATGAAAAAAAAAAGTAGTTCTTGGCTACATTGGAGGTCACCATTTGTCAAAGGAGACAGGTAAATAAGTGGTTATAATCCAATATCAGAAGTAGTCTGATAGAGGTCTGCACAGGGAGCTTTGAGAACCCAGAGGAGGCACCTCCCACTTCTACATGGGAGTGTGGGTGCAGTCGTTCAGATGTGCCTCCAGGGAAAATGACATCTGAGTCACATCTGGAACGAGACAGAACCTGTAACATGAAGCCTTTTCTTCAGACTAAGGACATGAATTCATTTTAAGATGATGTGGAGCCAATGAGTACTTTTATTTAAAGCAACATGAGGGGCGCCTGGGTGGCTCAGTCAGTTGGGCGTCCGACTTCGGCGCAGGTCATGATCTCACCATCAGTGAGTTCGGGCCCTATGTCAGGCTCTGTGCTGACAGCTTGGAGCCTGGAGTCTGCTCTGGATTCTGTGTCTCCCTGTCTCTCTGCCCCTCCCCTGCTCGTGCTCTCCCTCAAAAATTAAAAAAAATAATAATAAAGCAACATGAATGGATTGGGAATTTAGGATAACTACCTGGAAGCATACCTCCAAGCAGTGGCATCACATCAGTTTTATCATCATCTACATTGCAACCAGTTACTTAATATATCCAGCTCATGGATACCTTATCTCACTCAATCCAGCACCCTTTGAACTGCATATTAATTGCCATTATTCTATAGATCTGAAAACACAGGGTAATACAGGTTAATAAAGGAGTTAGTGACTGGATGCATAAGGGAGAGTATGTTTGATCACCTGCCATTCTTCCTGGTGGGTTTAAGTTAACAGAAGATGAGAGATGATAATTGTTGATCCTTAGTCTCCTTTTTCATGTGTTTTATATATTATAAAGCATTTCACTGAATTTAGTTTGATTCTAGAGTTTAAAGATAACATGTGTTCCCTAGAAGATGGCTTTTAACCCAAGTCTGTTACTTCGTCTGGTACTTAAGGAAACTGGTTTGTTCTAACACTAGAGGAAAAAATGGTTGTGTTAAACTTGCTCTTCCTTAGAATTTTTCATCTTACAGGATTTTTGTCCCTATTCTTTAGAATTCTTAATAGAATATGTTACTTAATTTTCCAGTCCTTCTCCTTTTCCTCTAAATAAAATTATCTTAATATTTGAAATGATATCTCCTTAGGATTTGAGACATTGTAGTTGTGTAATTGTTAAATTCTCATATGTAACTGGGGACCTGGATTCTCAGTACGAAGGGTAGTTTGAAACTAGATTTTTGTCTTTCTTCTCCATAATGTCTATCGAGTATATTCAAGCAATAGAATGAGAGGTGATAATTCTTCAGAGTTAAAAACAAAACAAAAAACCTGACTATTAATCCAGCCACATTCCTTATTAGCTTTCCAAATCCTGTCAAAATTGACCATTTACCCCTTCATTTTTAGTTCTTTAGTTGAAAATACAAATGAAGTACTTCTTTCTCTCCTAGAAATGTGGTATAATGATTCGTTTTTTTAAAAAGGGTTTGTATGTAACTAGAAAGGAGTATAACAAAGATTGTGTGTGCACAGTTTCGACTTGCTATACTCACCTTTTACTTCTTTTATTTCAGCTCAATCTGAAATTGAAGTTTCTGTGTCTGCAAGAAATATCAGGAGGTTACTAAGTTTCCAGCGGTATCTTAGATCTTCTCGCTTTTTTCGCGGTACTACTGTTTCAAATTCTCTAAACATTTTAGATGATGATTATAATGGACAAGCCAAGGTGTGTATAACTTTTTCAAGAAAACATTAATTTTTGATAAGTTTCATGAAACCCTTTTTTTCCCATATGGGATTGACTTATTAGAACCTTTTTTTGTATGCAAAAATTAGTTAAGCCCATTATTCAGTTTTTCCTTTAGAGCAGGTGTTCATTTTATAATTAGGTGTTACAGAGCAAGGGAAATCACTGAAGTAACTAAAAGAATGAAAATGTTTTTGTTTATTGTAACAGTAAGTAACAAGTAGATCAGTAAACATTAAACTATAAGATCACACTGAATTTTAACTCTGGGAAGAATATTATGGCTATTCTGATCTAATGTCTATATGCTATACATAAAGAATCTATGACCTAAAGAGCATCAGGGACTGTTTGAGCTCACCCACTGTTTAGAGGTAAACCCAGCATAGGATGTTAGGTCTCATGACTTACAGTCAAATGATTTTTTTATAGTCTCTTGCATCACTGAGCTATTTTGAGGGTTTATACATTTTCTAATTAAACCCAGTGATTGTGAGCATTATTTATATAGTTTAAAAGAAATGTCTTAATGAAGGTGGAGCTCAGATGAGCTTGTTTTTGACCAAATGAGAGTTTTTGATGATCTTATGTTTCTGACATTTTTTAAATTATTTTTTACCTAATATTTACAGGCCAGATTTTGTAAGTGTGTGTACATAGGGCTAAGGTACCTTCTTTACAATTACATTAAAGTGCAAAAAAATTGTTTCCCTGTTTGTGAAAGAAATCTATAGAAAAGTGTTCATGCTTTCTTTAAATTGTAAAAAGTTTACAGGTTCTGCTTTTTAACATGAAAATATCGGGGCACCTGGGTAGCTCAGTCGGTTAAACGTCTGACTTCGGCTCAGGTCATGATCTCATAGTTCCTGGGTTTGAGCCTCCCGTCGGGCTCAGTGCTGACAGCTCAGAGCCTGGATCCTGCTTCAGATTCTGTGTCCCTCTCTCTCTCTGCCCCTCTCCCGCTTACACACATGCTCTCTCTCAAAAATAAACATTAAAAAAAATTAAAAATAAACAAAATGAGAATATTGATTTGTGTATGAGTGGTTGTTAGTACTATCAAAAAATCACTATTAGTAAGAGTATTTCTTATGTCAATTTATTGATAGATGTGTACAACAGTGAACTTTCCACAGAAATTTCAGGTTACAAATATATAGTGTAAAAATATGAATTTGGTTTGGTTGTTGTGAGATTTATTTGCTCAACTGAAATACACATCAACTTAAATGTAATAAAGGCTATTAATTATTGTATAATGATATTTAAAGAATATAAATAAATACCTGTAAGTTGGGAGTGTTTTTTTTTTTTTTTAAGAAAAGGAATGACAAATAACTTAAGCATAGTGTAGTATAGATTCAAGTGCCTAAGTTCCAGAATCAGACCACCTGAGTTAATTAATATCCCAGCTCTATTACTTTCTAGCTGAGCAAGTTAGTTACTTTTAGCCTGTTTCCCCATATATAAAGGAGGGTTAAAGACAACTCCTACTTCATAGTCTTGGTATGAATAGTAAGAGTAAGCAAAACACTTTTAACAGTACCTGGAATATAGTAAGTACTCAACTATTATAACTTATTTTTAAAATCTAATTTCTAGACCATGCCATGTATGAACCATATATGGTTCATGGTGTTAAATTATGTTAGAATTCTTGAGTGCTCGCTTCGGCAGCACATATACTAGAATTCTTGAAAAGTTCATGGGAGTATAGGAATGAATTGAAAGAAACAATAACCTTACTTGTACATTCATTAATTGGAATACAAACTATTTGGTTTTCCAAATGGAGATTACCCTTTGGACACTTTTTTGGAGCCAGTTGGAAAGGTCATGATTAAAAGGAGAATGATACTTTGCATTTCTTAAAGTAAATCACTTTCTATTTTCACTAACTTCACTATGGACTATCTGTAAAAGACAGACTGTTATTGAACTTAAATTACAGTAGGAATGTTTGGTTTTCATTTCAGTGTATGCTGGAAAAAGTTGGAAATTGGAATTTTGATATCTTTCTATTTGATAGACTAACAAATGGTAAGTGAAGAGTTTGACTTACTCCAATTAATGTGTACTCTAGATTGCTGCATTGATGGTACAGTCACTCGGGGGGTTATTGCTTTCATTTACTTAGGTTATGAGCCCTCTGCTGCCAACAGAACATCATTTTGTCCCTTCTTTAGTGACTGATCTATAAGCTCAAAGAATCACTCTCATAATTTTGTCTTTTCATTACTCTTGGTTAGCAGTAATCAAAAGTCATCATCATCATCATCACTTGGCCATCCATCCCTAATTAATGCTACTATTATAGATAACCCAAAGTGAAATTGTTACCTCATTATTTTGTTTTTCTGTTTTGGTTTCTTTTGGGTTGTGGTCATTTACAATGACATCTTCTGATACTGTATTTCAGCTTTGACAGCCGCAGATATGTGGTAGATTAATGACATTTTAAAGATATCCTTTCTTTTAACTTTATGGTTCTCAGGCTTTTCTTTCTCTGTACATTTGAGAGATATGACATATGATCAACATTGGTTCCCTATGACATGGCGTCTTTATGGTTGGGTGGAGATGAGCTTGTAGCTTCTTTAGGAGTCTTATCAGAATCTACAGAATATGAATGGTTTGAAAACACCAGGTGATTCTAATCTGTTTACCCCCTCCTGTGTTTTGTTTGGTTTTAGGGGCAAGAGTCATGTTTCCTTATTCTCTTTGGAACAGGATAAGGATTTCTTTTGAGAATCATTTTTATTTAGGGTAAAATTTTTGGCATAAAAAAATGGTACAGGTTATTCAACTAGACCGTACTTGTCTAAATATCTTTTTGCTTGTCTAAATATCCTTTTAATAAGTGAAACAGGGGGCTCCTGGGTAGCTCAGTTGGTTAAGCATCTCACTCAATTTCGGCTCAGGTCATGATCTCATGATTCATGAGATTGAGCCCCACAGTGGGCTCTGTGCTGACTGTGGAGCCTGCTTGGGATTCTCTCTCTCTCTCTCTCTCTCTCTCTCTCTCTCTCTCTCTCTCTCTGTCTTCCCCTCCTGCACACACACACACACTCTCTCTCTCAAAATAAATAAACCTTAATAAAAGTAAAGCAGATTGGAAAGTACACTGAGAGGAAGCCACTTCTGAGTGTTTAGAATGAAGTGGGCCACCTGGGTGGCTCAGTCAATTGAACATCCAACTCTTGATTTCTGCTCAGGTTGTGATCCCAGGGTTGTGGGATCGAGCCCTGCACCGGGCTCCACTCTGAGCATGGAACTTGCTTGAGATTCTCTCTCTCCCTCTGCCTCCCCCTCCCCTGCTTCTGCATTCACACATTTTCTGTCTCTGTGTCTCTCTCTCTCTCTCAAATTAAAAAAAAACAATTTTTTAGAGTGAATTAAATATGTAGTTCACTGCTATGTACTTTGAAATTGCCTTTTTGTTTTCTTTTTTTCTTTGGAATGAAGCTCCTTTCATAAGGAAGCTAAATATGGGAAATGGGCAAGCAGATACAACTCTAGTCATCTTGAGAATCAATGTGGGTCTAGCTTTTTAGTATCACTACATTATTCTCTGTAAGCTGTGTGACCATGTAAAGTCCATGTAAAGAAAATAGCTTTGAGATCACCTTCTATTTGTCTGTACACTGTTGACAGAAAATAAATCGGACTGATCCTCAGCAAAATTGAAAAACAATGAATTCTGTTTTATCAGCACAGTCCCCCTCCTGCTTCCCTGCCATTTTGGGTTTTTTTTTTCCTTTTCTCTTTCTCTTCTACCTCTCCTTTGCCCTTGGGTGACTGTTTTCTGCCTTTCTCTGGCCCCACTTGGCATGTCCACACAGAAAATGCTCTAGTATCATTTACACAGTTGTCTTTCCCTTCAGCCTTCCCTTTTTAAAACATGTAGATGGCAAAATATCAGGTGACTCATCTTCTTCTAGATCTGGGAAATTCCTTTTTTCTAACTTAATATGAATATTACTTCAGTTATTATCCCAAGATAAATGTAGATCAAACCATGCCACCCTTCACACCTTCCAGGTTTAGCCTTCTATAAACTGTAATTGCTCTTCACCTGCTATTAGTCTGCTGGGACACTTTTACTCATTGAAATAGCTGTTTGTTTTCTAAATTCCATTTTTAAAAAGCACATATCTGCTAGTCAGGGGTCTTGGTGATGAAAGTAGAGTGAGGTTGAAAGTGTGGGATGGGCAGAATAGCTTTCATGTTAATCACCTCATTACTTTTTGTGAAGATGATGGCTGAATGGTTTCTTCTTAGGGTTGGTTGTTAGCAGGTAACTACACACCTGTGATTTTACAGATGGTGATACACATATTCATGTAACGAGAGCCACCCAAAAGTTACAGGAATTCTATACATGAAGAGCAAATGGGCAAGAAAAATTTTTTAACTTTCATTATTTTATTAGAAATGCTTTCCTTTTTTTTTTTAACATTTTTTTTTCAACGTTTTTTATTTTATTTTTGGGACAGAGAGAGACAGAGCATGAACGGGGGAGGGGCAGAGAGAGAGGGAGACACAGAATCGAAAACAGGCTCCAGGCTCCGAGCCATCAGCCCAGAGCCTGACGCGGGGCTCGAACTCACGGACCGCGAGAGCGTGACCTGGCTGAAGTCGGACGCTTAACCGACTGCACCACCCAGGCGCCCCAGAAATGCTTTCCTTTTAAAAGTGCTTAGCCAGAAATGAATTCTGGATAATATATATGTATGGTATCCAAGTGTATAGTTTTCCTTTGTTGCTTACCGATCCCGTGCTTTCTGTATTTCTTACTCTGGCAATTCGCCAGATGACATAGTAGGGGGAACGCAGAGAAGAGGTAAAACTCAAGTGATTCCCACCAAGACAAAGGGTCCCACCTTGTCCACTGCAAGGAGGAAAATACGTATCATCTGGTAGGATATATTTGGCATTCCTTTTATAGGAATGAGAGGTTATGTGTAAAATAGCAAGATAGGGTTTGTCACCCCCGAGATCTACCTGGCATGTGAGGACCCTTGTTGCCAGGTGTGTCTCATGGCAGCAGCCTCATCCTCCTGGCTGCCATCTGGAATCACATCTAAGAACCATCAATGACCCTTACATGTACCTTGAGCAGTTCTATCTTTGGATACATGTTTATGAAGGAGGCTCTTCTATAAGCACAATTTTCTTTTCCAAGAAAGTGTTTCCATTTTTGTATAAAGTAAGTTCTTCTGTGCAAGAAGAACAGGTAAGCATTACTTGTTTTGAAATGTTTGACTTGTGTTCTTATTCACTGGTATTAAAATAGTCCGTTGGTATCTTAAAAACTAGAAATAAGAAACAATGTTACACGCAGTTTTCCAATTAGATATGGGTAGTACACTTTGTTAGACTGGTTTTTGTCTGATTCTTTTAAAGTTCTTGGTGGAAGAGATTATATGTATTGCAGATTGCCCGAATTCCAGAAGATATTTTACCATTAGATTGCAGCTTTCTTAAAACTTATTCAAGACCTAGAAATTGGTAATTTGTCTCATTAGGTTTGCAAAACAAGTTTGGGAGAATGCTATCATAACCTAAACATACAGAATAAATATACATTCTTTTTTACTGAGATATAATTGACATATGATGTTATATTAGTCTCAGATGTACAACATAATGATTTGACATTTATATACATTACAAAAGATTACCACAGAAGTAGTTACCATCCGTCACCATAAAAAGTTATTACAATATTATCGCCTATATTCCCTATGCTGTACTTTACATCTCTGTGACATATTTATTTTATAACTGGAATTTTGTACCTCTTAATCCCTTTCACCTGTTCTGCCCATTCCTCCACCTCCTTGGCAATCACGTTTGTTCTCTGTAAGTCTGTTTCTGTTGTTTTGTTTGTTCATTTGTTTTTTAGATTCCAGATATAAGCAAAATCATACGGTGTTTGTCTTTATCTGAATTATTTTACTTAGCATAATGCCCTCTAGGTCCATCCATGTTATCACAAATTGCTGAGTAATGTGCCATTACAATAATGTTCCATTGTTTTGTGCTTTCAGCTCTCACATTTAGGTCTTGAGTCCATACTTTGTGTATTTTTGCACATGGTATGGGAAAGTAGTCAAGTTTCATTCTTTTACATGCAGCAGTTCAGCTTTTCCAACACCATTTATTGAAGAGACTGTTTTTTTCCCCATTGTATATTCTTGCCTCCTTCGTCATAGATTAATTGACCCTTAAAGCATGGATTTATTTTGGGCTCTCCGTTATGCTCCACTGATCTATATGTCTTCTTTTGTGCTGACACCATATCGTTGATTACTGTAGCTTTGTAATGTAGTTTGAAATCTGGGAACATGATACCTCAGCTCTGGTGTTCCTTCTCAAGATTGCTTTGACTATTGGGGATCTTTTGTGGTTCCGTACAAATGTTAGGATTATTTTTCTAATTCTATGAAAAATGCTATTGGTATTTTTATGGAGATGGCATTGAATCTGTAGATTGCTTTGGACAGTAGGGACATTTTAACCATATTATTCCAGTTCATGAGCATGGTACATCTTTCAATTTCTTTGTGGCATCTTCAGTTTTTTTCATCAATGTCTTATAGGTTTTCAGAGTACAGATTTTCCAACTCCTTTGTTACATTTATTCCTAGGTATTTTCTTTTCGATGCAATTATAAATGGGATTATTTTATTAATTTCTCTTTCTGGTAATTACTAGTATATAGAAGTACAACATATCTGTATGTTAATTTTGTATCCTGCAACTTTGCTGAGTTCATTTGTAGTTCTAATAGTTTTTTGGTAGAGTCTATAGGGTTTTCTTTATATGTAGGATTATGACATCTGCAAGTAGTGACAGTTTACTTATTCCTTCACAATCTAGATGCCTTTTATTTCTTTTTCTTTTCTTATTGCTGTGTTTTGTACTTCCAGTACAGTGTTGAATAAAAGTGTCAAGAATGGGCATCCTTGTTTTGTTCTTAGAAGGAAAGCGTTCAGCCTTTCACCATTGAGAATGATGTTACCTGTGGGTTTGTC